CTATCTATCTATCTATCTATCTATCTATCTATCTATCTATCTATCTAGTGGGCGGGGCCTGTCCTCTGTGTCCCAGGGAGCCGTGGGATGACCGTTTGGGCGTCCATAACTTCCCCCGGCGGCCCGTGAAGAAGCCCCCCCGCCCGGAGAGGACTCTGACCTGCGTGGTGACCCGGGACCAGGGGGGGGGGCAGGAGCACCTGCTGGTCCAGAGGCCCCACAAAGGTCAGACCCCTGGACCCCAGAACCCCAGACCTTAAGAACCTCAGTCCTTAAGAACCCCAAACCTTTAGTCCTCAAGAACCTCAGTCTTTAAGAACCTCAGACCTTTAGTCCCCCATTCCCCCAGTCCTTAAGAACCTCAGTCCCTCAGAACCTCAGTCCTTAAGAACCCCAGACCTTAAGAACCTCAGTCCTTAAGAACCCCAGACCTTAAGAACCTCAGTCCTTAAGAACCTCAGTCCTTAAGAACCCCAAACCTTTAGTCCTCAAGAACCTCAGACCTTTAGTCCCCCATTCCCCCAGTCCTTAAGAACCTCAGTCCCTCAGAACCTCAGTCCTTAAGAACCCCAGACCTTAAGAACCTCAGTCCTTAAGAACCCCAGACCTTAAGAACCCCAGACCTTAAGAACCCCAGACCTTAAGAACCTCAGTCCTTAAGAACCTCAGTCCTTAAGAACCTCAGTCCTTAAGAACCTCAGTCCCCTGGTCTCAGAGTCCCCCAGTACCTTAGACCCCCAGTCCTTTAGTCCCCAAGACCTGTAGTCCCCCAGAACCCCAGTCTTTTAGTCCCCCAGTCCTTTAGACCCCCAGTCCCCTGGTCTCAGAGTCCCCCAGTACCTTAGACCCCCAGTCCTTAAGAGCCCCTGGACCCCAGACCTTTAGACCCCCAGTTCTTTAGTCCTTTAGACCCCCAGTCCTTTAGACCCCCAGTCCTTTAGAACCCCAATCCTTAAGAACTTCACTCCTTTAGACCCCCAGTCCTTAAGAACCTCAGTCCTTTAGACCCCCAGTCCTTAACAACCCCAGTCCTTAACA